AAACTAGATAAGACTGAACTATAAAAGGAACTGAGAATAATATATCACTTAGGAGATTTGGATATAAAGTGATGATATGCACATAGAATATAAAATACATGTTTATAAATATGACATAGGTTATGTGTTATATGATAAATATGAATACATGAGAATAAGAGATAAAATAAGTGACTTTGTGATGGAAGCTATATGACCATGAATGATGTGAATATGAATAATTTAAATACTATATAACTATGAGTATTTGAGTATGTATCTAGATGATGTGATGTATGAGGTAGTATGAAATATTTTAAGACTATGTGATTATACGAGAAACAAAATAGGTACAGGTGAATTATATGGAAATGAACTATGTGAATGGGTGTGATCTTATGAAAAATTATGATGAGCTATGTGAATGAACTATAAGATTATGTGTATATGTAATTATGAGAAGTCATAATAATAGAATGTAAACAAGGTGTCAAGAAATGTAAAATGACACGAAAAGTTATATAAGCTACGTGATATGTGAAAGTGAACTATGTGTTATGTGAAATGATAAGTATAAAAGAAGATGCCCATGTTATGTGTCTTGAGAGCTAGGGGTATAGTTGGCATGCCAAGAGTCGAGGGTCTACGCGGTCCTTAGGGACATATATGTATTCCTTGGAACATGTGTTAGGTCTTTTGAGACACATACTTGATCATTGGCATATGTATATGATTCTTAAGGAATGATATGTGGTCCTTAGGGACAACCTTATATGGCACTTCGGTGCATTTCTACGCGGCACTACGGTGCAATTCTACGTGGCACTTCGGTGCATTTCTACGCGGCACTATGGTGCAATTCTACTTGGCACTTCGGTGCAATTTATATGAGCTGTGGTGACAGCATTAGTGAACAACCTCTATAGACTCACATATCTATGGTTCTCACATGTGTACATGGGCTAATAAAGGAAATAATAAAAAAGAACCTTGCATGATAGTATGTGATTGGTTTGTAATCTTTATGGTGTGAAGTGATATATGTGATATGATGATGTGTATATAGCTTGGTTAAGAGGAATAGATGCACGAACATATGACAAAAAGATAAAGAACAAAAATAAGACTAATAAAGAGATAATAATAAATACCTTACATATGATTTACATGTTTTGTGTTATGAAACCTGTTATAAGAATTATATGATGTGATGTGTCCTTCTTTGAGAAATGATATGCGTGTTATATGACAAAACTAATATAATAGGTACCATATCAATTGTTAAATTGGATTACTTATAATGATATATGATAAGAATATGTGAATGGTGTGTGTGTACAAGTGGATATTGGTTGCATGATAGAATGTATGATTGTGTATGATATAATAAGTATAGATTATGAATGCATTACTAGGAATTATATGTTTTTATGCCTCACTAAGTCATCGACTTAGCGTGTGAGTATTTCACACGTAGGTTCCGGAAAGCTAGAAGAAAAGTGAAGAGGAGCAAGACATGTCAGTTACTTCTTACCGAAGATCAGATCAGAAAAGATGTCTTGAATTAGATGGATTCTGTATATTGAATATAGATGGCATGTACTAATTGATTGAGTTAAATAAACCGATGTGACTTTAATGAAAGTTTTAAATTTTCTCGAGTTTTTGTCATGAGTCAAAGTTTAAAAAGTTAATGTGACACATCGGACTCGTATCCGGGTCGGGTACGGGTTGGGGGTGTTACATTATAGAGATAAAACATCATTAGCTTCTTCCTTATCCTAATTGACTGACAAGTTGCATTTGCATTTGAATTAACACTTAAACTAAAGATAATCAATTTCAAATATTTAGATATATGACTTTAAATTTGAAGTGATTATCTAAGTGGATTGTGGCCTAATATCCAGGTCAAATATGCTTTAAATAAAGAATGTTTACCTTGTTGATCAATGATAGTCACCTCTACATAAGCTTGACCCTCTACCTCAGTTTGAGCTCTAGAACTAGGTGCAGAGATGGATAGGGGCATGTGGGAAAAGTCACCCTCCTAAAACTTTCAAATTCTTTTATATTTTAGATTTTTTCGTGTATTTTTTATTAATAATTTGTTTTCACCACTGAAATTTTATAAATTAACTCCCCTTTAAAATTTTATAAGTTCTTCTCCTAACATAAAATCTTACGTCCGTCCCTAATTAGGTGGATTAAATTTTAGAACAATAACACAAGCACATTGCCCATCTAGTTTTGTGATTAGCTTCAATACACTTCCTTTGTTCTTTACACCTTCCAGAATGATATTAATGTTAGAAATCAAACTCAACTTTGCAACCATATGTCGGCAAGAAGAATGTAGAAGCATATGAATTACTTAGCACCAAAAAACTTTGAAAAGTCAAAGGCGGTAGAATGGTGACAACTAGCAATATGGAAACATGGCAGCAACAACACTTTGAAATACTTAATTATTAAGCAAAGGTTAAGGTGGCAAAAGCTAGAAGATTCTTGATTAAAGAAGCATGATCTTGAATTACTTAAGAACTAAGCATGGAAAATAAACATGTGACAATTGATGATGGAAGAGAATTTCATTAAGACAATGAACTCCATGTGGCAATACAAGAAGAATTTGGAAATGCCTAGATCTTTCATTAAGGAGGTTTAATTACCCTTATAAATATATGCAATGTATGAGAGGAATACAAGTGAGAAAAATGAAGGTTTAGATAAGCCAAAATGAAAAATAGCTTAGCAAAGCTATTAGAGAGAGGGTAAAGCTTAGCAAAGCTTAGAATAGCGAGATTGTGTTTGTAAACAAGCCGCAGGTAGTGTTATAGTGTTGTAGTATTGTAATATTGGGGTAACGTCATTATAACGTATTTTGCCTTGTATTAATAATAGTGCGAGTTATAAATTTTTGAGAGCCCACCTACGCTTCTAATAAGTGGTATCAGAGCTTGGTTCGAGTTTAACGTTGTGAAGAAGATCAACATGATTCAACCTCAAATCTCGAGATTGACAAAGACGAATTATGGCAATTGGAGCATTCAAATGAAGATGTTACTAGGCTCCAAAGATTGTTGGGATATTATCGAGGATGGTTACACCGAGCCTGAAAATACAGCAGCAGAAGCAGTCCTGACCATTGAAGACAAGAAGGTATTGAAGGAATCCCGGAAAAAAGATAAAAAAGCGTTGTTTTTTATTTTTCAAGGAGTTGACGAATCTACCTTTGAAAAAATTTATGATGCGAAGACATCAAAACAAGCGTGGGAGATTTTGCAAAAATCTCTACAAGGTGCCGAAAAAGCAAAGAATAATATATAGCTGCAGCATCGTGCACTTGCCAAGAAATAAGAATCGATTGGAGATGACAAGTGGAGAAAAGCTCGGAATGGAAAGTCGAGTTTGAGGGGGAGTGTTAGAAATCAAACTCAACTTTGCAACCATATGTCGGCAAGAAGAATGTAGAAGCATATGAATTACTTAGCAACAAAAGACTTTGAAAAGTCAAAGGTGGTAGAATGGTGACAACTAGCAATATGGAAACATGGCAGCAACAACACTTTGAAATACTTAATTATTAAGCAAAAGTTAAGGTGGCAAAAGCCAGAAGATTATTGATTAATGAAGCATGATCTTGAATTACTTAAGAACTAAGCATGGAAAATAAACATGTGACAATTGATGATGGAAGGGAATTTCATTAAGACAAGGAACTCCATGTGGCAATACAAGAAGAATTTGGAAATGCCTAGATCTTTCATTAAGGAGGTTTAATTACCCTTATAAATATATGCAATGTATGAGAGGAATACAAGTGAGAAAAATGAAAGCTTAGAAAAGCCAAAATGAATAATAGCTTATCAAAGATATTAGAGAGAGGGTAAAGCTTAGCAAAGCTATTAGAGAGAAAGGGTAAAGCTTAGCAAAGCTTAGAATAGTGAGGTTGTGTTTGTAAACAAGTCGCAGCTAGTGTTATAGTGTTGTAGTATTGTAATATTGGGGTAACGTCGTTATAACGTATTTTGCCTCGTATTAATAATAGTGCGAGTTATAAATTTTCGAGAGCCCACCTACGCTTCCAACAATTAAGAGTTCTTGCTTTACTTGAAAAGGCATTCATCTACTCCTACAAGGTGTTGATTCTACTTACTGTCTCTAATGCTTGCTTTAATCTCTGATATCAATTGTAACATGATATTTGGTTGTTGAGAAAAATAAACACTAGAGAGAGAAGAAAAGAAAAAAATAATCTGAGATGAAATTTCATAATGGAAATGGCTTAAATCAACTAATACAAATATTCAGCAACAAACTGTAACAGAATGCACACAACTATTAGTATTTATTTAAAAGAAAATAACAACAAATTTGCAAGATATTTAAGGGTGCAAATAAACATAGTGTTCGGTGAATTATTCATGAACCGTTCGTATAACGTTCATTTATTTTCGTTTATTCAGTTAAATAAACGAGTATAAACAAAAATTTTATATTCATATAATAAACAGACAAATATGAATATATGTGCATTCAGTTCGTTGATGTTCACGAACAAGCTCGTTTACTTTTTATTTTTTTACATTTTAAATATTGATGAACCAAGGACTAAATTGAACACATGGTAAAATTTAGAGTTTAGTGTTTAAGCACTGGTAGCATAATTTTACCATTTTTAGCTTGCAAACGAAACTACGAACACTAAATGAACATGCTCACGAATATTAAACTAACATGTTCGTGAACGCTAAACGAAAAAACATGAAAACCTTCAAAAATAAATAAACGAACATGAACCAAACATTAACACCGTTAAAAATAAACAAATGAACATACCCTTATTCGTTCAAGCTCAGTTCATTTACACCTCTAAAGATATAACTATTGTCCTCAGCTAAACCTTACTGAATTACCCTTTTCCCTCCCGTGTCAGCTCCAACCTGCCCTCTAGTGATCCATAGCCTCAGCTTCTTAGATAATTCTATTTGCATCAGTCATCACATTAAACCAGAATTTATCCTTGGAGTGGATACGGATAGAAAATAACAATTCATATATATAGGGCAACTAAAGAAATAACGTGAAGAAACTAGTCATCTTTCACCTAACAATGATTCAAGATGAGCAGCCTCTTCCTCCTGTAAAATAAATAAAAGCCTGAATGATTATCATAGGTCATTTCGGTAGTAGATTGACCACAAGGTTAGTAGAGTGTTCATACCACTAAGGCATTAAACTCGGTTTCCTCATCAATGGCACTCGTGATAGCAGGGTCGTCCAGGAGATCCTATTAGCAAGTGAACAAATACACGGTTACATACTACTACAGTCCTGCTTAAGAGTCACAACACAAACATATGGTCATATAACATCCGTTCATTAAAACTAAGTTAAAATGCCATAAGAACGGAAATAAGAAAGATAGCAACAAAGATATTAAATCGTAAACCGAAAACTGCAACTGCTCACCATAGTTCCCTCTCAAGTGAGGAAGATCCTCCAGTGTAGGTAACCTAAGAAAATCTAGATCTCTGTTTCTCCCTCAGACACACGCACACACAAAGTTCTATGCCTAAAAGATTAACTTGGAGTAAGCTGATGGTGACTGACAGATTTTCTAGGACTTATGCCACGACCAGAAGTAATCAGCCTCTTGACCGACTGTGTAGATTGGTCCTAAAGTTCTGATGTGCAAGGATTTGAAACCCCCTTGACATTATTGCTGCCAGGAAAATTTTCCCTTTGCTCTTAATTTACCTCTTAAAGCCCTCCAAACCACAATTTTCGTTTCACCTAACTTTTTTCAAAGTGCCATACCAAAATTCATAAGTGATAGAAGATAGTTAAATTGTGCCGAATCACATTCGGATATTATTTAAGCTAGTAGGTGAAGGTCTCTAGATGGGACCCAGTATGCACATTAACATGAAAGTGAACACCAAAAGCAAGAAACATATATTAAACCACAATATTGTTTAATAACAAAGATTGCATGCATAACACTATTTCTTGTCCTCTCATAATCTACAGGAATTGAGAATGGAGCACTTGAAGAAAAAAAAATTCAATAACTTCTACATCAAATGTAAATGTTGCTTACATCATCAGCAATTTGCAGCATTCCATTCTGATCCTGCAGAAATCAAAACTTAGATTTATCAGCTTCCCAGTTCATCTCCATAATGTTTCTCTCTTTTTATTTCCCTTTTAGAACTTCTCAAGTTATATGCTTGTAGACATGAATTTAAAATCCATTCCTTAGATGTGTGAGCATATAATTCAATAAAAAGAGTGGAAGTCGAGCCACATTTAAGTTTGAAACAGTAATCCCTTAGGCGTGCTTCTACCTTGACAGCAACAAATAGAAGTGGATCAGATGGTGTATAAATCATATAATGTGTTCCATCCTGCATAAAAAATAAGGATAGGTAAGAACTATAAAATTAAACAAGGGTAAAGTACATAAGAGGTCACCGAATTATACTAAAACAGTCATTTTAATCACTGAACTTTCAAAAGTTACACAATGGTCATTAAATTTTATAGAACTATTACAAAATGATCATTAAAATTATTGAACTTTTACACTTATTATAACATCACAATGATCATTTTGTATCAGTTTGATAAATTTAATGACCATTTTGTAACTTTTAAAAGCTTTGTGACCAAAACAAAAATTTTAGCATAGTTCTGTGATCTCTGGTGTAATTTACCCATTAAATAATATTGAAAATGACTGTTACCTATTCTTTTCAAATTTTGGTATGTTTCCATAATCACATAGTTAAACCTCTTTTACTGTGTATATGTAGCAAAAATTATTATAGAATCTATATAGGAATTCATTTTTACTATGCCAGAGAATTTTCAATTATTATAAGAAGTGCAACTTTTAAATGCAAACTTACAAAGAAAAATAAACTCAAGTCACTTATGTAAAACAAAAGGAACAATAATAATAATAATTAACTGCAGATTGCAGAGACATACATGCATTCTAATGTATGGAAAGTGTGGGTGTTTAAAATATCAAGTCATAGTGCACGATAAGGTTCGGTATTCCCATCAACATTGCATCACTTTTTTAATATAAACATCAAATTTCAACAACTATACCACAATCCAATGGCAGAAAAATGATGTTGACATTCAAATTTTTATGAACAATATTTCAAATGAGAAAATTTAAAAGGAACAAAAGCCTAATTATCATTGGTATGGACTCAAAATAACCAAAACAGGATGCAACACTTATGTGCAAAGTCAAACATGGGAGCCAAAAAGGTATTAAATAAACTGCAGCAAGATTCACACATTTAATGAATGATGCAGTCTTAGATGCATCTCTAGGGACATTAAAACGGTGACCAATATTTTAGGTTAAAGAACATGAGAACCATCAAATTCTAACAGCTCGAGTCAACAAATGGTAAGAAAGTGGATGCTAACACATTGCTACCAAAAGAGAGAGCGCGAGAATAAAAGCCTACTCATAATTGATAAAGGCTCAAAATAACCAAAAAATAATAAACAGAGAGGGAGGGAGGGAGGGAGAACTTGGGAAATGAATAAAAATAACATGGTCTAACTCCTAAACTTGAACTAATAAAAAAAACTCGCCATTATTTCTCCCCCAAATGGATCAAAAAGTAGACCTAACAATATTAGACACAACACGATTAAACGACACTTACATGAGAAAATACCTAGAAATCAACACAAGGAAAAAAATAGCGTTAACAATGCATAAATTTCTCTAAAGAATATAATAAAATTGTTAATATATAAACTTATATTAATATAAAGTACCTTAAAGACAATTATGACACAGAAAAATTCATGAACAAGACATAGATACACAAATTGCCAAGTCTATAATCAAGTACTGGGAGAATTTCAACATATTATAGAGCTTCTGTTTTGCAAAGCAAGGATAAACAAATGGTACAAGCATTTGCAGATGTGTAATTAATATTCCTAGGAAAAGAAGTGACCACTCACAATTATCTGGATGGTAGTTCTTACGTCCACAAATATCTGGAAACACAGACTAAGCAGTGCAAGAGGTAACATTGAGTTGGATCAACCATTTAAAGAGGTTGGAAATTATACATCACAAGATTATATTAAGACCTTAATAAAATAGAAAATTATACATCACAAGATTATCATTCCAAAAAATAAATCAAAAAGGAGATAGAGAACATTAGCCAACCATATAGAAGTTTGAAATTGATCATAATGTAAATGAAGCAGATTGAAGAAAAGACAGAAGTTATGCAAGCCAGTTCAACTTCATCTGAAACACTGAAATTAAAGGAAAATTGAGGGCTTTTACCAGATGGAAGCATGTAACTTCTATGCCTTCAGCTGGCAAGTCATCTATATCTTGATCATCATCTGCAAAATTTAAGCACCAGGCATAAACATATATTATCTCACATGATAATATTGGACAGTATCAGCAGAAAACCAGGAAAGCTAAAGAAAGAAAATCAATGCAGCCTAAAAAGTACAGCAGCATAGCCAGTTCCTAATCCTAATCCTTCATACTTCTTCAATCCTAACACCATAGTTTTTCATCCCCTTCAAATGAGAAACATTTCCACAATAACGCTTAGAATCCCAAAAGATCATACTGTTTTCTTAATTTTCATTAATTGAAATTAAGCTGTCACTATTTCTTGTCGGTGTTTAAGATTCCAGCATCGGTTTACAAAATCAATTATGTCTAAGTTCTTATGGGGAGGGGGCAATGGGAAAAACAAGATACATTGGGTTAATTGGTCTACTGTGAGTAAACCAAAGAATGAGGGAGGTCTGGGAGTACTGGATCTAAATATGATGAACAGAGCCCTACTAGGGAAATGGTCATGGAGGTTTGCTAACGACAGGAATTCTGTTTGGAGAAGAATGATTTGCAGAAAATACAATATTGATTCAGCTACATTATTTTTCGACAGTAAGGTTCCAGCTCAAGCTTCGCTTCTTGGATTTGGAGATCAGTGGTGAATAACCATTTCGAAGATGACCCTTTCGGGTCTAAGTTTCGAAGTTTATGTAGCTTTCAAGCAGGTGATGGAAAGTTTATTAGGTTCTGGCAAGATATTTGGGCTATGGATTATTCGCTCATGGTCATTTTTCCCAGACTATTTTCTATTACTTCAAACAAGATTGGCAAATTATGTGAGTTTGGGGAACATCGATCTATGGGCTGGATTTGGAATGTTCAATTCAGAAGAAATTTAAATGATTGGGAATTTGACCAATGGTCAAATTTGATGGTTATCATTTCGAATTTCTCACTTGCAAAAAATTCCAATGATGGTTTGATAAGGAAAGGCAGTGGGGATGGTATGTATTATGTTAGCTCTTGTGTCAAGTTGTGTTCTTTAGGATCGGAGGAGGTTCATTTCTGGAAAAATATAATTTGGAGGGGTCTGCTGCCTCCAAAAGTGGAATCCTTTATGGGGCAAGTTGTTCTTTAGAAGCTGGCATGTAAGACCGAACTGGTTAAAAGTGGGGTTCAAGGTATTGATGATGTTTTATGTCCTCTTTGCAAGTTGGTGGAGGAGTCTTCTTCACATTTATTTTTTTCCTGTTCTGTTGCATGGTCTTTATGGAACAAATTCTTGAAGTTGTGGAGTCTCAATTTTGTTTTTCATACTAATGCCAAGATTTTTCTCCAAGCCTGAGAAGATTTGAAGAATTCTACTATATGGTCATTTGTTCCAGGGGTTGTTCTATGGACAATTTGGAAAGTCAGGAATTCGATTGTGTTCGAAGGGGGAAAGTTAGACCAGACTGAATTATTTTTCTTAGCAAGGTTTAGGCTTGCTTCCTGGTTTTTAGCCAAGTATAAGGAGATCTCTATTCCTAAGGATTCTCTTATCTCTGATCCTTCTCTAGGGGATTCTTGTTCCTCCACCAATAAAGCAATTGTAACTAAGATCCCTTGGTCTCCTCCCCCTAAGGGCTTCAGTAAATTGAATGTTGATGCTGCTTCTAGTTCCGACTAGAAGAGAAGTGGATTAGGTGGAGTTTTAAGAGATTCTTCTGGTTTGATTGTAGGTTCTTTCAAGGAGTCTTCTAGTCGGGCCCTCCAATCTTGATGGAGCTTAAAGCTGTTCAAAAGGGATTATCTTTCTTTGTCTCTTTTCAGGGGATTGTTAAGGATCGTTTGATAATAGAGAGTGATAGCAGAGTGGCAGTAGACTGGATTAAGAACGTTGAATTATGCCCAGATGTGTATGTTTTTATTGTTAAAGACATAGTTGATAGGCTTAAAGTTTTTCAGGGAATTGTTAGATGGGTTGCTAGGACGGCTAACTTAGAGGCTAATGCCTTAGCAAAAGAAGGAATAGGCCGAGTTCAGTGTTGTTGTTTACGGTCGTTTAGGGTTGTTTTATGGTTTTCTATTTCTGTAAGGGGTGTTTTTCTTTGTTGTATTTCTTATGTAATTTTCCTGTGATGAATAAAATCTAAAGGCACTCTTTCCTGCTAATTAAGGAGCTTCCCTATGAGATCCATTATTCAAGAAGGGGGTTTTTAACGAGGCCTGCAATTCTTATCAAAAAAAAATTAAGCTGTCACTAGTAAGAATAGCGTCAGAAAATTTGGAAACTTCATTAAAAGATGAATATTCTTGCCCCCATATTTCTGCAATTCAGTGTACAAAGAGAAAGAAAAGGTAAGGCGCTGCTGCTACCATTCACTTGTGTTTAAAAGAATACCAGACAAGGAGAACTGGAATGCCCTATCCTCTAATTCTCTTTGCCTCTCTCTTCACCCAGACACAAAGAGTAATTGAATTCTAGCTAAACATGGAAAGCTGGCCAACATTAGTCACTCTTTTGGAGCTAAGATTCAGAAACTAAAGCTATTGCCTGAATGGCTTAAGAGTTTGGAGAGTGTCCAGTCAAACCTAATGATAGAAATCATGGAGAGCCAAAAGCAAAAACATAACACTGATGAGAGGTAGAGATTGCCTGTGCGGAAATCAAATATGTTATCTTCCGAGTAGCAGAATCCCCCACGAGCCGTATAACAAAATCTGATGCAGCACCAAGATTTTGGATATTAAGAAATCAAGAATGAACAAGCTATTGCTACACTGAATTTATGAACATACCCACTATGAACCAGATGCATATGTATCTTCGCAAGAGCATATGCAGCTGTAGGAAGAATAGCCTCAACCTCTTCATCACTGACCTGAAACAAAGAAGCAAGTAGGTTGGTTAGCAAAATTTCCAAACCTGTGGAAGAAGGAAAGATGAGTTGAAAGTTCTTTCAGAGGAATGGAGATGGGGTGTTTCTTCTATAATGCAGAAGCGACAAAAAAATGAAATCTTATATACTTGGTGCCCATAGAATGCCTATTAAAAAGGTACAACCTAAATTTTCCAAGGCAAAATTCCATAGCTCAATAACAAATTAATGTCCAAAATGTTAGAGGCAAGAATAAAATCCAATATGGAAGAGAATACATACAGCTGACCATCCATCAATATTTGTGCTCTTTAGTATCTGAACAGGCCTGCAGAAATAAAGCTCTTATAAAATATCAAGAACCAGAGACAATCAAAGTCAAATATTTTGCTGATGAGTTAAACAGACACAACTAGAGCGATAATACGTACATGTCAACTGGGCAGAGCAGCATACATTCATCCCCTCGAGAACTTTTGAATACCCTCCTTATAACACACTCTAAAGGGTTGTTATTGACAGAATCAACCTGTCCACAATTTCATTATTACTTCTTTAATCAAATTTGGAGATGAAAGGATAAAAAAACTTACCTTGTTTACCAAAAAAAGGAAACAACCATAAAGCAGTTATGGGAATAAAGAACTTACCAAATAATAACTTAGTAGAAGTTATGAAAAACATTATAACCATGACAACTAACTATTTAATAAAGCATGAACTCCATGTATCGTTTTAGCCTCTCTTTCAATTATTAATAGCTTTAGACATGGATTATAAAGAGGTGAATATATTTAATTTTGAGATTTCTCTCTCTAGGTTCTATTTGTTCCTCCCCCCTAAATTCCTCTATCACTTCTGCTTTCCCGGTATTTTCTTCCTATTTTCTGTTTTCTCCCTCTTTTCCCCGTTGTTCTACATTAAGAATGTCAAGATATCATGATTTGGTTTGGACATTGGCTTGGCAAGTTGGTGGCATAGCCTACCCTTATTGACATTTGCGGTAATCTGTCCCAATCCATACTCTTTTCTATGTTGTTTTACATCAACAAGAATAATCAGCCAAAAGAAATGCCAACTCAAATGTTTGGCTAACAATTTTTTTTGTCCTTCAGCTAATTTTTAATTCACCACTTGAAGCTGTTTCTAACTCATAAGCCAAGCTCAAGCAAGGTACTAGGCTGTTCTCAACTCAACTTGTTTACAACCCTAAGCACACATACAAAGCTTGTCAGTCATATAACTTCGAAAACCCAAGTTAGTTTCTTTGGTAATGAGGGAAACTTCATTCGTTATCATCGGATTCAGCGAATCATTATAGTAAACATAATTAGTTAATCTCTATAATAATGAAGTTATGCATTTTCTCTAGCACTTGCAATAGCTGAGTCATGTGTCCAATATATCATGTATATATATGTGCAAAAGAGGAGCCTTTTCCAAATGCTTAGAGCAATCAAATGTTACAGTAACATAATTGGTTAATATCTATAATAATGAAGTTATGCATTTTCTTCTCTATAACAGAAAAATCATTCAGAATCATTACCAAGTATCTAATTTTATGCTTTCAGCTTTTCACTTCCAGAAACAAGCAAGTTCCAAAATCAACTATGAAACTACATCAATGTAAACGAAACTAACAACCTAAAGCCTTAAAAAACTCACAATGATGTCAATTCTCTTGTTTGAGACCTTGAGAATCTTGCCAGCGTTGTCAACCGCAAACCCAGCTGGCGGTTTGGGAAGAGATTGAGGATGATAAGCTAAAGAACGCATGGTACTAGTAGTAGAAGAAGTGGAAGCTAACCCTTGGTGAACATCATCATTTGCCCCCACAATCTCAACATCCCTCACTCTCAGCACATTCAAAGCATCATCGCTTTTTCCCTTCCTCATCTTCTTATTCCTTGGTTTCTCGACAGGTCCACCCGCCTGGGACTTAGCAGCAAAGCGGAGAGGGAGTAGCGCATAGGCAGAGGTGCTGTTGGGGCATTGGCAAGGGAGTGAGATTGGAAATGAAGGGAATGGAAATTTGTAGCGGAGAGAAGGTAAAGTGGAAGGGAAGGAAATGGAGGACGCCATGTTAGTATATAGTGTTCGCTCTTTAATTTGTTAACTCAAGTGTAGAGTATGCACTATGCAGTGCTACTACTTGTGAATTTGTAGCAAGGTAAAGCCAACAGCGCAGCCGCAGGTGCAGGCGCAAGCAGCAACTTGGGCTTCACCTTCGCCTCGGCTTCGGATTTCTTAGAATTTGGGTTTAAGGTTTAGGAATTAGGATTTTTTTTTTCAAGTATTTTGCCTTCGAATATCTTATTTTAGAATATTTTTTTAAAAATGTTTAATTAAATAGATATTTTAATAATTATATTTTTAGATATTTTATTTTTCCATATTTTAGTTTAGGGTAAACTACATAAATAGTCACTAAAGTTTGAGTAACTTTTCTTTTCTCCAACTGAAGTTTTAAAAGTAACAAATTGATCATTAACGTTATCGATTTATAACAAATCGGTCATTTGCCGTTAACAGCCATTAATATGGGTAATAGAATACTAATGTGAAACGTTACAGTCATGTTGACCCCTCTTTGACTCTAAAAAAATAGGGTAAAGTATAAATGGTCATTAAACTTTTTATGTGCTTGCTTTTAGGTCCCCCAACTTTTAAAACTGACAACCCAATCATCAAACATTTAGTTTGTTTGCAGTGTGGTCCCCGACGTAACCGTACGTATCATTGTCGTTAGAAAAAGATTACATGGCACGTGAGTAAACCGTTTGAAACTATAAAAATTAGGGTAAAATACTTCAATTACATTCTAAACCTCAAATTCCAAAATACTTCAATTACATGCTCAACCCTAAATTCATAGTTAATTTTCAAAATATGTCATATCAAACTGAACTTGAAGCAACAACCTTAAACTCTCAAAACATAACCCTAAATACTAAATTTCCCCACCAATTAACCCAACATAATCAACATAATCAACAACCTTCCACTTTACCTTCACTCCGCTACAAATTTCCATTCCCTTCATTTCCAATCTCACTCCCTTACCAATGCCCCAACAGCACCTCTGCCTCAGCGCTACTCCCTCTCCGCTTTGCTGCTAAGTCCCAGGCGGGTGGACCTGTCGAGAAACCAAGGAATAAGAAGATGAGGAAGGGAAAAAGCGATGATGCTTTGAATTTGCTGAGAGTGAGGGATGTTGAGATTGTGGGGGCAAATGATGATGTTCACCAAGGGTTATTTTCCACTTCTTCTTCTACTACATGTACCATGCGTTCTTTAGCTTATCATCCTCAATCTCTTCCCAAACCGCCTGCTGGGTTTGCGGTTGACGACGCTGGCAAGATTCTCAAGGTCTCAAACAAGAGAATTGACATCATTGTGAGTTTTTTAAGGCTTTAGGTTGTTAGTTTCGTTTACATTGTTGTAGTTTCATAGTTGATTTTGGAACTTGCTTGTTTCTGGAAGTGAAAAGCTGAAAGGATAAATGGTCACTGAACTTTTCAAGCACTTGTATTTAGGTCCCCCAACTTTTAAAACTTACAACACAGTCATTAATTACATTCTCAACCCAAAATTCCAAAATACTTCAATTACATTCTAAACCTCAAATTCCAAAATACTTCAATTACATGCTCACCCCAAATTCATAATTCATTTTCAAAATATGTTATATCAAACTGAACTTGAAGCAACAACCTTAAACTCTCAAAATATAACCCTAAATGCTAAATTTCCCCACCAATTAAACCAACATAATCAACAAAAACAAAATCCCCAAACAAACCACCCAAATCACTCATTCAAGCCTTTTTCCTCTCTCCATGGTTATCATCTTCCTTAGCAAACCAACGATAACAATATGTGAATGTGGATTCAATGGGGGATCATACCGAACAAAGAAATTGCGATTTCTCCTAGAACGCCCATAATTAACACATCCAAAGAATCTCATTCCAACATTCTTGTTCGTCCAAGTTGTGAGTAAAATAGCTGACATTCCACCAAAAGAAGTTGGGATTGCGTTTGGTGGTGTATCCATTGCTTGCAATTGTTGACCAAACAAATAGAATAAAAGGGATTTTGTTTTTTAAGGTTTAAGGTTTTAATTTGGGGGAACAAAATCGAGTTTGTTGTTTTTAGTCTGATTCAATTGAGGTTTTATTCAGCTGCAAATGTTTGATGATTATAATCCACACCGTCACTGTCACCGGTGATTCCCTGCTCCACTCAGTCTCAACCTCCGTAACAACCATTTTCAACCTCTTTACTTCCTTCTACAGTGGGTACCACATCAACCATATGTAATATCATTTATTATTTCTTTTAGGGAAACTAAATAACATTATTTTATTTATAATTTAAAGAAAAAAGAACTCATTAAATCGACTTAATTGTAAAAGAAAAGATTATTCGAACAATTGTTTCTACAGAATGTGAGTATGTTATTAATAATATAAGAAATTTGTGAACATATATTATATTATAATAATTTAGGCTATTAAAAAATTTAAAGCAAAGGAAAGTTAAACTATAGCTAGAATAAAAATTGAGTAATAAAAATAGGAGAGATACTAAATTTAGAGTTACTGACATCAAATATCCTTACATTATGATTTTCATTTTAAATTAGATTATAATTTTTAAATATTTTAATTTTATCCTTAAACTATGACTATCATTCTAACTTAGTCTTTAAACTTTTGGACATTTCAATTCCATCCCCAAACTATAACCTTCATTCTAAATTAGTCCTCAAACTTTTTGAACATTTCAATTTCATCCCAAACTATACGTATATACTAATCACATCCTTTGTTAATAAAATCGTTAGGCCAAGTTATATTATTACATGTTTAAAAAAATAAAATTTAGGTTAAACTCTGGTTGAAACTAATTACATATTTGGATGAATTGAGGATGAAATTGGAAGATTCAAAGTTTAAGGACTAATCTAGAATGAGAGTCAAATTTTGGGGATGAGAACCAATTTAAACAAGGGTCATAATTTTGGTACATATTATGCAATTAACTCCTACATTTATAAGGTGGATGTTAGGATTTGAACCCCACAAAATGAGCTAATACAAGTATTTTTAGTCACTCGAGCAATTAATAGATCTCAAGTACGAGTGATTTAGTAAGATAATTACTATAAAAATATTACATTTAATGTAAAAAAATAATTATTAATTATTAATGTCTGATTCATTAGTCAATTAATTCAAATGGAGTATTATAGAGATATTTTAAGATGACGATCCTCTTAATCTAATTCTATTTATTTACAATATCAAGATTTAAACTTCTTATCTTATTTAAGAAAACTAATACATTATCCATTAAATCAATTAGTACTTTGGAAGTTAATTACTTCATTTCAATTTTATCACACCTTACTTTTATTTGGTTTGAAAATTTGAACATTTAATTAAAATAATTTAGAATTTGAGGAAGAATTTAGAAAAAAAATATCATAACCATGTGCAGTTAAACAAAATATAGATTAGTTGAAGGACCAAATTAAAAACCCAAATATAGAGTTTGAGTGAGGAACATTAGGAGAATAGGATGCTTTCAACGGTGGTGCTCGTTTTGATTTAGGCATGTATAATTCACTTACGTAACGCCTTGTAGCTTTGAAAATCAATGACAGTGAACGTGCGTCCATGACCATAACTTGAATGTGATTCTCATAATATTAAAGGGTAAACTACATAAATGGTCCTCCGACCATAGGATGCTACTTTTTTGAGTCTCTGATTATTAAAAGTTATAAAATGGTCTTCCGACTATAGGGTGTTGCTTTGTTAAGTCACATGACTATTACAATTTATAAAATAGTCACCTGACTATTCATATGTTCCAAACTCGTCTTTTTCCATTAAAAATTTACAACAATTTGAGTTGGATGTTAATAAGTTGACTGATATATAATAAAATCTAATCCCAGAATCTTAAATGACTATCATATCTTAGTTAGCATGTTAAATTTCAGCTTAGACGACCTCCAATTTTTTAACGAAAAAGAACGAGTTTAGAACATAGGAATAGTTGGGTGATCATTTTGTAACTTTTAATAGTCGATGACTCAACAAAACAGTACCCTATAGTTAGAGGACCAGTTGTATTTGAATTATTATAAATATTTGTTTTTAATATATATATATATATATATATATATATATATAATTTTTTAAATTATCGATATAATAGTTTTGCTTTGTTTTTTTAATAATATTAGGTGATTATAAGATAATATATGTTTATAATTTTTCTTAGTCATTTATAACACATACACTTTGAAGACACAACTACTATAACCTAAAACCTTAAAGGAGAACAACATGCCCTTAATCACTATCACAATGATTTTGAAAACTATTATAATGAAATGCTAGTATGCGGCCGCAATTTAATATTGGATAAATTATATTTTTAGTACTCTAACTATTATTTTTATTTTATTTTGATCACTCAACTATTAATTTTTAAAATTAACAGAACTGTTGATGTGAAATTTTCTTTAAAAATCAATGATGATGTGTCATTATCTTATGGTGACATGTCAACATCACCGTTAATTTTTCGACAATGAAAGAATAAAATGAAACCAAAATAGTTGGATGACCAAACAGAACAAAAGTAATAGTCGGATATTAAACATTAATATTATGAGATTCTATAGGTCCGAGGTGTTTTCCCCTTTCCTCTTCCTTTGTATAATCCAACTTGTATAAATACCCCATCCTACATTCCTCTACACGTGAATACTACAAAATAATCTCTATAGTTGGAGTTGAAGTTACAACAACTTGTGCATTGAGTAGAGTTGCAAGCATGGGTGGAGCCTTAACAATACCAACCACCGTACCTTTATCGACAACCCTTCTCTGAATGGGTCGAAATATTTTGATGACGATGGCCCTGACGATCGGGAAGATTCTGGACAGCAAATGCACACATAATAACGGTGGTGATAGGGTCGGGGGTACTTTGATTAGCATGGGCGATTGCTCAACTGGGTTGGATCGCAGGTCCTACTGTTATGATGATGTTTTCCATTGTCACATATTACACTTC